AAAGAGTTTTTTGATATCTAACATTCACAATACTTAATTATTTTCAAGATAATACATTTCTTGCTTAATTTACAATGTGCTTTTCTTTCGGTTTCTTGCTTTTCCTAGGATGCAAAGAAACGGAAAAAACAGTACTTAGATAAATCTTTAAAGAAGACAAATGAATTTTATTCTGTGAAAACAATTTACTCTCGTTGCTAAATCATTACACAGTGGACACAAATTTTGCAGATAAAGCACTACAAGAAAATCCTGTTAGTACTAAGTGAGTGAAGATGGAATGTCACAGGGTTTGCCAAGACTAGTTCGATTTTTTTATTTATGAAGCTTCAAAGTTGAGTACAAAATGAATGAAAATTGACTTATTTTTGTCTACATTATCGAATTTTTTGAGAAAACTATTATCTTGATTACATCACCGAAGCGCGCATTTAGAAATATAAATAATTCTAAAAATCATTATTTGCTGTATCTTCGATTTTATCATCTCTGTCACATATTTTATGAGACTACCTGCAAATATCGCTTAGCAATGCATCTAATTTTTTTCTTTTATACTATTTTATAGCAAGCTTTCATTGGCATAGATACTTGATGAAAGCGCTCGCCATGTTTAACCCATTCTGATGCATGTTCCTTATCAAAGTAATGAAAATGAAGAAGGGAGTATATTTTTAGATTCATATAAACATCTATTCTCTCGAATGCTCTCAATATACCAGCTATGAAACTTAATAATTTGCTGACCGATTCTAAAAAGTTTTCGAATATTACTTTCATGGCATCATTGTAAAAAATTTCCTTAAAATTCAAACAAAATCTGAAGTTTTATTACAGTCACATTGTCTAAATTTTCGGACAGAATATTGTCTGAATTTTTAGCCATAATTGTATCAATTTCTAGCTACATTTCTCTGAATTTTTAGCTACAATATAGTTGTTTGAATATTTCTAATTTCAATGCTTGAATATTCAGACATTGTCTGAACATTTTGATACTGAAATTAGAATTAAGAACTAGAAATATCCAGACAATTAGTTAGAAATTCATAATTATAAGAAAACTTCAGCTTTCTTAAATTTAAACAAATTTTACAGTGATACAAAGATTGGATTCGAGAAAACACGTACTCGTATGAACCTAATACACTTTTTACACTACCATCTTGATTACTTTGATAAGTAACATGCATCAGAATGAGATAAACATGGCGAGTGCTTTCATCAAGTACCTATGCTAATGGAAGCTTGCTATAAAATAGTATAAAAGAAAAAAATTAGATGCATTGCTAAGCGATATTTGGTAGTCTCATAAAGTATGTGACAGAGTTGATAAAATCGAAGATACAACAACTAATGATTTTTAGAACTATTTATATTTCTAAATGCGCGCTTCGGTGATGTGATCAAGCTAATAGTTTTTTCAAAAATTCGATAAAGTAGACAAAAATAAATCAATTTTCATTCATTTTGTACTCAACTTTGAAGCTTCATAAAAAAAAAAATCGAACTAATCTTGGCAAACCCTTTGACATTCCATCTCTTCTCACCTAGTACTAATAGAATTTTTTTATAGTGCTTAGTCCATAACAATTTTTTTCGAAATTGTTATTGCATGTATTATTCAATTTATAATACGTTAACTGACGAGTTGTAAATAAATGACAAATTAAGACAAAAAAATTAATTATTTGAATATTTTCTACCTAACTGTTGTTGGTTTTTGAAGTAAATAATAAAAAATTAATAAATTTGTAACGATATTAGTAATAATGTTGAATATGAGTATGTGGTTCCACAAACATGAATTACTCATGTTTTTATTATTCACGTTTTAATTTTCTTACATATAACTCTAATTATTTATTGTAATTATGATAATTTAATTCCAGAATACAAATCCGATTACACTAACAAAGAAAAAGGAATAAAATACTTCTTTTTTTCTTAACAAAAATTAAAATGCGCAAAACAAATAACTATTTTAAAAAATTTAATAAAACAAATACTTATTTTAATTCATAATTATAAATTTATTAAAGCTAGCGATTATTTATTTGTTATTTCTGAGTTTCTTTTTCATTTCTCGTCTTTACTTTAATATTTAATTAAACCATACGTGTTTAAAATATTTATATATTTTTTAATTTATCAAGGATGTCGGATCTTCTATTGTTAATATTTAATTCATATAAATCCGATATTTGCCAATGCGAAATTGATTTCATACTTGAATATGCCAACATGAGCTTTCGATTTTTTTCAGCATAATGCGTTAAAATTTGCGTTTCCTCACTAGTCAATACATTGTTCCAGTCATCTTGCATATGTTGCAGAAGGTCCTTAAATTGAAGAGATACTCGTTCATAAGCCGATCTGATGCGATAATCATACTTACTATTTCGGAATTGCAAGTCAGGCTAATGATTTTTGCAATACATGTTACTGTGCCAGCTAAAATTGGCATGAGCTCGAACATGTTATCGAAATCATCTACATGCTTGAACATATATGTAATCTAATAATATAAATAATGAATATATGGTGCGTTGATTATATTTCACATAATACTCGGATGAAATGTAAACTCGCGGATAAACAATTGTTTCTGTGACACTTAAAGACTACAACTATTATTTGAATTAGTATATGTCAGACAAACTTTTTTTTATATACAATTTAATTTATATATTTTCTTTAAATTCGTTAACTCTATTCTCTAAAATCTTTGGAGTGGGATCTAATTCTAAAAAGTGACAAAGAATAACAATTGAGTCATTTTGTTGAAAAAAAGTGGCTTAATTGTCAATTTTTAAGAGTAAGATTTCACTCTTTAGAGGTACATTCTACTCCAAAGATTTTAAGGAGTAATATCATTAATGTATCATCTAGTGAACTACCTGCGGCGCATACATTATTGTAACGTCAAATATGGCGAACGACTGAATTAGAAGTTTTATGAAGTGTGTTTGATATGGCCACAGACCGATGAAAGACAGGAAGAACACTTGTTAATCCTAAAATAGCGCATGTCAAAGAAATCCATTGTTTTGTTGTACTGAATAAGAATCCGTAAATATTCTTCTCGCTATAGCAGTATCCATCTCATCCGATCTCTCTCTCTCTCTCTCTCATTCTCTCTTCTTTTTTTCTTAGTACCTTCTTTAGTATTCCGTTAAAACCTCGTTATGTGGGAAATATACTAAAGGTACGAAGTATGGTGGTAATATCAATACAGTATTATAGCTTTAGAAGAAAAAACGAAATGTATAGAATTTGTAATATTATCACTATATGCTTTGAAGCTTTGAAGACACTTCGTATTATTATTTCATATTCTCGGTGCCACGAAGTGCATGACTAAGACCGTATCGATTAACGTGTCGAATGTCTTTTGTCTCTTCATAAAACTGGACGTTGTCACTATAAACGTACAAGTTTCGAGAAATGATAACATATTCTTAGTTTAGTATTTATTGTAAAATTACAAATATCTTTTGCAACAGTAATAATAAACAATTTGGTTTTTATAAACAATACGTTCTCTATTGATGCTACTATCACACTATAATATACCACTGACAATGAATATATTTTCTAAAACAAGATTTTAATGGTTTTGTGAATGTTCATTTTTAATCAAAAACAGGAAACAAAAGTACCTCATTTTTTTCTCAAAGTATTTCATATGCATCTCCATGGTTTTATAATCTTTTCAGATTGACAAAAAAATTTATTTCTGAAACAGTGTATTAATGTATTGTATATATTTAAGTAAAAACATTTGCACATTACTCTTGTTAAAAACAATATTTAATTCTAGGAAAATAGATCGAACGGGAAATAGTAAAAATAATATATTATGATAATTCCGGGAAGTCGCGAAACGCTTGAAAACGTTCACAGTGAAAGGTGATTATTTAATCGATCCATGAAGGGGACATCGCCTTTGTGTCATTACAAAATTCGTATGTGAAACATCATGAATTATATGAAACATCAAAGTTATGAAACTTATTCTATAGAGCAAAAAAATACCGGATATGGTGCATATGTGAATAAATATATCTATATAATTTAAAAATTTTTTATACTTTTTGTTAGTAAAAAATATCCTTTAGCTCTTTTTTTCGCGAGACATCGGAAATAAGATACATACATATATTCATATTATTTCTGATGTGAGATACGTCGCTTTATTATGATGATTATAATCACTCTTTCTTTATAAAATACAATGACTGCTGATGATTTTTTTAAATATAATAATTTTGTAAAGATACACATAATATAATTTGCATCCTTATCTTATGGATAAAAAGGTCGCGAAATATGACATAGCAGTTTGCATCACCTTAAAATTGAATATCAATCTATTACAATGTTATATAGAATTATAAAAGATATTTTTCCTAAGTATTATATATACACTGCCGTCGAAAAGTTTCCGGACATGGAAATAAAATTCAGGTCACCGTAATTCGATAAAAAATCATTGCAGACAAAAAAATAAAAAGCATGCTAAAGTATAAGTTTCAAGCTTTAAAATGCTGTTTTATTTTTTGTCTGCGATGATTTTTTACCGAGTTACCTGAATATTATGCAATTTTAAGTTCCATGTCCGGAAACTTTTCGACGGCAGTGTATATATATATATGGTATATATTATATAAATTAGACGTACCGAACTACACATAGTCATAGACAGAACAAACATCTTTCCAGCTGTGAGTGTACATGGAAAGAGACTTCTATAAAGAAGTATTCTTAATAATCTTCTAGTTTTTATGGAAAATGTATACCATGCTGAATTGTATCTAACATAAAATGCATGATGAAATTGATCGATTCTTTTATCGACAATGTAAATGTAAGTCATTTATAATTATATACGTGATAACTTTACATAACGTTAAAAAGCACTGAGAGCATCGTCGTTCACTGTTTCAAAAATTTCTTTTACGTATAAGTTTATGGATTTTAATATTAATTGACATTAATTTTAATATTAATTGATATTATGATTTAAATTAAATGTTACAATTAACAAAAAAATTATTTTAATCGTATAAAATTGGATATTATCGATAAATTATGCATAAAAGGCT